TGGGTAAAGCGAAGCGACGGGAGCTGGGCCCATGTCCATGCTGTACCGGTGATGTACGAACTCGAGTCTCCCCGGAAGACCGAGACGGACGTGTACGGTAAGTGAGATGGATTAGGTGTTTCAGCTAAGTTGACGATCAGCTGAATGCAGGGTTGCAATAACTCGGAGCTTAGAGGTAGCAAATTTCAGTACGCTTTGGTGCACATAGCATTGTATTAAGAGTCTCGGAAGCATAAATTTATTGTCTGAGTTTACACATCCTCCATCGTATGGTGGAGTGCGCATATATTCACTATATGCTCTGTTCGATTGTATCCATATACTATAAGTCTCAAGGATAAAGGCCATGATTTAATAGCTGCGGTACTGCTACGCGTCGGAGCTGTAGGTCAATTCCGGTCTACTCATAGCTAAGCTAAATATGCCGACGGAAAGCGTCAGGCGCTATGGATGGGGATAAACAGTATATTACTTCACCTAAAGTACTTACTCTTGTGCAGTCAGGTAACTTTCATCGAATACACCGTGGCTCCTGAGTGGAAGAGCCCTCATTGCAGCTACATGGACCATGGCACCAGTTCATCTAGCCAATGGACGACACAATCACCTCAGGATACTGATGGTACACGTGGTCATCGTGGTGAAACGCTGTTAACATCAGAATCATGGTTGATACTACAGCTAAGATCAGTTAGTATGTGTTTTGACAAGGATTTAGTAGTATTAACGAATGAGTGACAAGAACACAATTTATGCAAATCAAAAGCAACTGAGGTTTCGTGTACTCGATTTTCAATGACAAGCGCCCGTCGCTCGAAATATGCTGAATCCTCATTGGAAATTTGGTCTGCTCAAGCGTGTGGCGTCACTGCACGTGACCGCGAGGCACCAACGGATTCAACACACACTTTCAGCCAGCCCAAAACAACTACCTTGGGCTAAACTAGAGCGACGTTAGAACAAAAACACCGGATTATTTGAGTCCGAGCGCATATAGCCCACGTCTATTGTTCAGATTATCTATATATCACAGAGTGCATTAATCATACAACACTAAAGATAGGGGCTCCGGACTTAACCGCATAAACCCCTGACTTGCAGATCCGCGCTTTCGAGCGGGTATACGCACTGAGCGTACGGCGAACTCCTCGTGATTCACTGTGTCTGCGATTATTTGCACTTCGGTGGTGCTCAGGGGTATAAAACTACTGACTCCGAGCCAACAAGCTGATCCCAACTACCACCCGCGCTCGACTCATCATCTGTTCACTGAGTCCCTAACACTGTTATACATCTCTGTTCTACTCCCGCCATACCCTATAGCATTTCCTCTTTCATGTCGTGCATGGGTACACGTCTCTGCTTCAGCCCCTATGCTTGGCGCTAACGACTTAATAGCTTAACCCACTCCCACCGTACCCCTTTGGCGTAAATTAATGCTTAGCCAACATTATCAATGCTCGCCACCTCTTATAATTCAGCGATCCCGATAAGGTTAGTTTGTCTTCATCGTGCTCACTCCTCCTTGAGTCTGACTCTCATTTCAGTAGGCGGCAAGCTTCGTGTAAGTCCTCGGAAAGCACATTGATCGCCGAGCTCGATGCTCCTGTCCTGGCGCTACGGCGTCCGCACGAGTTAGGGACGGGGTGCTCGCTCACAGGACTGTGCGAGGCAAACAATGCTAGTGACGCCAAGTGCCAGTGCTGCGCTCGCATTGGTCGGGGAACGACTGGACACCTTGATCTGAAAACCGCATATGACGCAAATTGTATAGCTTGTATGCGCGGCGTCCTACGATACGAGCGCCTTGGAGGTGCCGCTTTACGCCCAGATCATAGCCGGTGAGCCGCCTATTCCTCGCCCCTCCGGCCCAACTTGCTGACTTAGTGGTGTCCTCAAGGTTCAGCTTCAACTGTTTTCTCGGACTTGTTCTAGTGTTCTACCTATAATAGCTCTAGCTTCCGTCAACTGAGATACTACATTTCTCCTCATGTCGCAGACACTGCTCGGTGTGCGTTCAAGTTTTAGATTCACACAGTGTATAGCGAATATAATGAAATATATAAAAAGAAGTGACACCAGCGTGATTCGAACACGCGCCAGCAAACGCTGAACGCAAATAAACCCGAAGTCTGAGCAAGCTTATCGCTTGAGTGCGTCCCCTTAGACCAACTCGGGCATAGTGCCTTATCTCATAAGCCCAAAATTGTGGTTGTTGCTGACGTACGTTGCTCTAAATGCAAACCATATATACTCGAATTATCAGTACAGGCTTTGGTCGCGAAAACGCAGCCGCTCACCAGCTATATCCGACGGGAACATTGTTAGATAGATATTATGCTAATCTAAATAGAGCTAGATGAGCATCCTTCATCGCTGCGACTGGCAAGAAATGAGTCTGCAGCCCATAGAATCGTTTGAGCTAATGTGTACACAGCCTGTACCCAAATGCTTCGGGCTGCATCAGCTGACAGACTAGATGCGCAGGTACCTTTTAGTGCGGCTTTTTTACCCCAAAGCTTTAGTGTGGTGGGCTTGTACTATGAAGCACTCAGAAGTAGCAAGAAACAGGTGAACCTATCATGGTAATGGCTTAGCTATGAGGATATCACAACTCATGTCTGAATATAAAATGGATTACATCTGAATATCCGCGCTCAGCCCACGCGAGTTGTTGGTCGTGTGATGTTGTTTGAACCTTGTTGATCCAACCCCTTCGAGACACCACCTTGCCACTAGACTCACAACCCGTTCGCATTTACTAGTACATAATGCCCAAACTGGACTTTGCCCCCGGAATTGTCACACTTCTGGTTGGTATTTTTACTAACCGTCGCATGAGTAACCGTAGATAATTCTTTAACGTTCCAAGCCCCTAATCGTGCCTCTGCACACCGAGATTCCATTTTGTTGAGAGGCGGCGAAGGCTACTATCATATCGTCTTTACGGATAAACCAGGTTAATTCATCTCCTTATTAGATGCCCTTGAGTACAAGTCTAGTGATGGCCGTGTCCCTGCTCGTGCTACGGAATATGTCTGTATATGCTCTCTTTAAAAGGAATACGTGAGTCTTTCCAGCGATTTCCGTCGCATACAGTCCGATCCGTATCTACGTGCCGGGACGAGCTGCCACCAGGTGACCTAAAAATCAGATGAGTCGTATGAAGCCGTTTCTTGGAAACC